CCGACTTCAATATTGACACGACTCGAAAATGGCAAGAGTGAAAAGTAAAAATGTCACGGTCATGTTTTGGAATAAAAAGTGTCATTCGTCTTAACACATCGCAGTGTCAAAAGTAATATTAGTTAATTTCAGACCGAGAATAATGTTACCATATCTTTTACACGGTTTTTTTTAATCGAAAGACGGTGAACTTCCATATCAAAACCCACAAATTATTATTTTAATTTGTGACACAGTTGAAGCCGGTGTGCAAAATGTTGTAGTCCAGTGAATTATAACGAAAATAGCTCATTTTTACGTCTATCGCAAGACAAGTACTGAAAAATGCAAACAGATCGCCATAACATGTTTAACTGAAATGCTGGATAAAGACAGACACCTTCTTCCTGTGGATTAGATCGTAACTTTACTTTAATTATAATAATATCATTTATATTTATTACTTTGATCCCAATATTACGAGTACGTACACGGAAAAGGGTTTACTTTTGGCTGTTGGGGATGTGCACATGATATTATGAACTTAAGTAGGTATTTATAAATACCTTGCATATTCGCACAATTTCGTTATTTCGAAAACCTATTAATACCAAATACTGCTGACGTCTTCCCGATTTATCTATTTCAGTTTTGTTTACCTCCAAATTACTTCGACGAACGTATATTCTTTACCCAGACTATTGCCACTGTTTTCTCATATTTTATGAAAATATGCCTTTTGACTAGAAACCTTTATGTCAATGAACCTACATCTATTTAGTACATTGTGGTATGTTTTATACGTGGTAGTTAACCGATTTCATAAAAGGAGGAGGTTTTCAATCCGACTTTTTTTTGTAACGCGATAATTTGTTTATCGATTTTGATAATTCGTTGTTTATTGGAAAGAGGGTACCTCAGTAGTGGTCCCATTTAAATTTGAAGAAAATATTCCACCTCTAAGGGTGACAAACTAGGGGATGAATGACTTTTGAGGTCGGTTTTTTGATTACTTATTTGTTACAAATATGGTTTACACCAAATATTTATTCTTACCCTCTACATGACTCAAATTACCTTAATTCTTGCCGTCTCTTTATTTATTTGGCAAACCAACAGAATTATACATACCTTTTATGATTAAACTAAAGAGGTACAAGTTGCATTGTTCTCATACGTATCAAATGTAAATAAATTATAAAGACAATGTACAATTTTTAGCAAACATTGTGCTATATTTATAAAACTACAACTACAATTAAAAATAAAATTGAAGTGATTATTGTTTGTCCCCCTCTCACTCTCAAAGACACGTTACACTTACCTTTTTACTTTTTTTGATTCGCCCTGTAATCAATTATACAATACGATACGAGTTTCTGGAAATAGATATAGATTTCTATAGGTGACGGTGACCAAATGGGCCTATAGTGCATTTACCGTCTTGTATACTAATAATAAATACGCGAGAACGGTTACTTTTATTCATATTATTTCATTTATTTATTTTTTTATCAAAAATAAGCGCTGATTTGACTTCCATCTCACCTGATGGAAAGTGATGACGAGGTCTACGATGTAGCATGCACACCCAAATAATGCCTATTCACTCTTGCCTTGAATAGGTCCAAGTTATAGCGTTCAGGGAATACGTCCGCAGGCTGAGAATATCCACAACATAGGGATGGAATCCCAGGCCACGTCTAGTCACCCGATGATGGAAAGGGGAAGGCGGAACCAAATTATGCAATTCCGTCGCACACTCTCCGTGATATATCCTGGAGAATACCTATAAGCAGGCAACATTACGACGGTGTTATTATGAATTACCGGGCATTTGGCTATTTGTCGGCTATTTAGCCATCTACTAAAATGTCATTTACCCAATTTCTACCGCAGCAAATGTATCGATCGGTTAGAAAACGGCGTACAGAATTTCGCAGTCGATTAAACTTAATTAACGTAAATTACTTTAATGGTTTTGCCAATAAGTATTTAACTAAACCGTTCATGCTGTACAGTAATTAAAGTCAATTTTAAACAAAGGCAATATATGTACGTACGTCCTTCACGTCTTGTGGAGACAACGAAAAACCAACCTTATTCACAACACATATCAGCAAAGGAAAACACCGTGAAGAACACTGAAGATTTGAAAACCTCTTCTAACATTATGGTGTAGTAGTATCACATATACTTTTAAAATAAAACGATAGGTTCATAACGCACACTAACTGTAATCGAGTATATATTTCCTTAAATCAAACTTATTTTTGAAAAAGCCTTTTCCGCGTTCTCTCCCCTCGCTAATCTTATATTCCCATTTTGTTCTTTTTTGATCATATCCAAGTCAAATCGATAACTTAATTTATTTAAATCTGATAGTTATTGCAAGTAGTAGTAAGCATTTTAAACTGAATAATAAAAATAATAAAAATATATCAATCGTTAACAGTTGTATTAAAAGTACTTACAGTTCTTACAACCTACCAAACATGGTGGACCGTTGTCTAATATACCTTATTATAACGTGAAATAGGCGCCTGGGTGTCGAGTAGTTGTGGACCCGTACACCATACCATAGATACCTTAAGTAATTATTAACTGTATGAAAAAAAAATCAAGACAAGCGCAGCTATTTTGCACGATTTAACCTTCACTGGGTTCGCGGGATAGCAAATTAATTTACTTCCATTTTTATACGTACCTTATATGCATAATAGAAAAGTATTACCCAGCAGTGAAGCGTATATAAGTTGCCAGATATAGTACGCAATAATTTATTTATGGTATATTAGTTACGTTTAACATGCATATGTATATTCGTTTATAGATGTTAAATTAGCACATAGAGTTAAAATCAACCCACGCACTTTGCAGATCTCAACACTAAGAAGTCTAAGAGCGGTTACACACAGTGACTTTTAATAGCATGATGCAAACGCTAATCGTCTACCTTTACACACGCGCGCGATTATAAGCAACGATGCAATCGCGCGTTTCACGAACGCGCGTTTGCATCGCTGAAAGTTACCGTGTGTAACCAATCTAATACGTCTCTACGTCACGATGATGCTTTATAAATATTTGTGTTTGATCGCGATGATAACAAAACATTTAACATTTTGCTCTGCTACTAGAGATGCACGATTTTATGCGTTGAATCGATTGGTGGATTTTAATGAATCGTATATATACCCCTGAATCGATCCACGGATCGGACGGATCGTATGCTCTTGAAACCATCTCACAAAAATCGTTTCCAAATTAGTAATAATTGAACACCTTTATTACATGATTAATAGCCGTATTAATTTTTTCTTTTTTGCTTTTCACAGATTCTTTACATCCAATCCTTTACATGTTATAGACGTTAATTTAACTAAACTTTTCACAAATACTGTCATATATCTTAATGTCCGAAGCATTGTCCTCCTTTTTATTTTCCGTTTCTATACTTGACAGAATCATTAATAAGATGTGACTTTTGTTTAAATTATGAATGCTATCTAGACAATTCGATTCGCCTTAACTTTGAATCGATTCGATTAAAAATGGCATTGAAATGAATCGATTAAAAAAATCGTTAGATGGCATTAATTTTTTTTTAAATCTATTTTTTTTTTCTTTTATAGTAACGCACACACTCAACATAGCCCCGCATTTCCCCATAGGGAAACCTTGTGTCGCGGGTGCCATGGACACATACTTAGACAACCACAAATTACATCCAAACTCACGAGAGAAATAAATATAGGCCATACAAATATTTCTCCCGGCCCGGGAATCGAACCTGGCACCCCTGCGTGGCAGTCCGGCATGACAACCGTTCGGCCACGGAGGCAGTAAAATCAATTGAATCGATCTTCACAAAAATCGAATCATAATGTGCATCCCTACCTGCGACTACTTCTCATAGTGATTTTGGATACCGCATTATTTTCGGAGTTGAACTTTTCTGGATTTTCTCCCAATCAAACGTGTTCAAAGTATCATAAATGACAGTTCTTATGCTGAAAAATTTGCAGATATTTTTCGGATTTTCAGACAAATGTTATTCAGTGAAAGGCCAAGTAGCCTCACAATAGGGGGTTAATAATAGCTAATTGACAATTTTCAATAGCGTTTAATAAACTTCTATAATTGTAAAATACCAGTGCCAATTTCAAAAAGAATGTTTTGTAGTGTGTTGAATTTCAAGAAGAAATTTGGCATGGTTAATGAAAATAAATGTTAATTTTTGACATATGTCCTACATAAATGCTGTATGAAGGTAAAATCATTAATAAATGGCGAAGAGCAAGTCGCACTTGTATACAAATGATTCCATACCAAACCTGGACTCAATAGCTTTTTGGTGAACATTATTATACACACGGTGATTCATTCACATTTCTGACTTTTCAAATTACAATTTGTTAAGATTGTTTTGATAATTCTACGCACATACCGATTTAGTATGGTGTTTATTACTAATTATTACAAGTTTTTCTCTCAAACCTAAAAACAGTATCTTATATATATTGTAGGCTATTGTTCTTAGTCTCGGACGTCAGCCGTCAGCCTGTCAGCCGTCAAGTGAAGATGTAGTAAAAATGGAATCATGCTAAATTGTCGTGACACTGTAATTTTTAGTAACTTGTTAGATTGTCGCCTTTCCATTTCTTTTTATGACTAGTTGCCCTAGAAGGGAAATACATGTTTATCGACATGGAGAGAGCAAGAGACACTATAGCAAAATCAAAATATCTGGACTATGTAAACTCTCTAGTCTCCGTAATATTTCCTAAGCTTCTTAGGATCCACAAAGCCGGAAAGAGTGGGTTATTTCTAAATTATCGCATCATCCATCATAATGAACGTAAGCAGTACCATATCACTCCCTTATTCTTTTGGCTTATCAGTCTAAGATTCTAAAATCAATCCTTTGGCTACAAAACATCGAAACTTTTTATCTTTATTCACTATAGTTGCTGCAATATTTATTCTTCTTTATCAACTGTTCAGTTGTTTTACGCCGCTTGTGTCGAGTGGTGTGCCCGCGCAAGTGTCATGTAACGTTTTATTGCCGTTATTATTGTATCATATTTCGTTTGTAGAATACATGCATGACTATATTGTAATTAGTGCTTGGTGCGCGTTAGTTGAGTGCGAACGGGGACATACATCCAGGTTAGTCTAAAAACCGACTTAAATGATTTTTTAAATATATTAGTCGACTCAGATAACTACATCTTGACGACTTTAGCTGTCCACTGTTGATGGAAGGTTACTTTCATTCAATAGCATTCACTACTTGGGCGTACAACCTGCCAAACCCTGGACGTACACCCCATTAATTTGTAGTATCATGAGAAAGTACTTGTAATAAGTGTTTAGTCCTTAAGAAGACTGATTTATGAGGTTTTGATAATATTATTGCTATCTCCATCGGCTGTGACGCGGGTACTTGTATATGAGGTTGTGACAGCACTCGGTTGCAAACATTTCATTACGTAATTATTGTATTTCATAGTTTGATGCTCTTTCTAATATTGTAGTAGGTTTGTAGAGAAAAAAAATAAAATAATTTCTTATTTTGATGTTCTTGGTTCTTGCTTCTTGTTTTAAAATTTACTTTTTACTCTAAGAAGATGAGTCTGATCACACCAATAAGTTCTTCTTGTTCTTCTTCTTAGAGTGCCTATTCAATCCTGAAGTTTGGCCCACAGCTTCCTGTATTTGTCTCTATCAGCAGCCAACCGAAACAGCTCTTCGACAGAGGCCGGTCCACTCTCGGATATTCCGCAGCCATGATTTTGAAATTATTTTTATTATTAATTAATAATGGAAATTAGCATAAATTTTATCCTATTAATTAGTACTACAATCTATGTCTGTTTGGGATTTTTCATCAAAGGAAATACTGGATCCCAAACTGGTGGTACGGAGAAACCATCTTCCCTGTTGATAATTGCAATGGCCTCTAGCAGCGCTCGGGGTGGATAACGAACTTCTTTTGCAAGGACCTGGGGCTTGTCATACTTGATTGAATGTGTAGGTTTATCCATGACATGCTCGCAAACTGCAGACATGTTTACGCGACGGAGTTTGACATCAGCTATTATGTTCTTTAGCACAGGTACAAATACTTTGCTTCGAGCTATTTCTATCTGGGTCTTGATTCCCTGATCAGATTCCCATGCTTCATTTGCCCAAGCCACCAATTACTTGTAAATACCATTAAATTAGGTTTGAAAATTTAGTATGACTTTTGTCGAAAAGAACGAGTAAGTTTAACTGTAACTAGTAGAGTAGCTAAAACTGATGCACTAAAACTGTAGATTGGTTTCTAAATCGAGCTTACGACACTTAATTGAATTTCATTAGTATCTAATGTAGGATCAAATTATCTTTGCAGGGAGTTCTAACCCATGTAATATAAAAATCCTGAAATACCTTGGCAAAAACTGAAGAAATTTATGGGCAGTGAAAACATTATGACGTGTTTTTAGTTTTGCTGTTTAACAATTAACTATACTAATGTTAGTTTAATAAACAACATTGTATATATGTTCTTAAGTGGATAGTGGATACCCATGTGAGTAATGAATTAGAAGTGTCGTGACCGTCAAATCGTGACAATTATACTATACAGCTTGTTCTTCGCAAACGCGCAATAGGTACTTTACGTACATGACAGGTACAACGTATTTGAATAAAATTCTATTTATCGTTGGAAGACAGTCGCGTCTTGCCTGTTCCCATATCACGATTATCTGTCGTGACTGTATCGTGGACGTTTATTTTATCGTTGTACGACTGTCGTGTCTAGCTGTTCCCACTAGACCGTGACGATAGTTTATCGGTTCACAGCTGCCACCTTGTCGTTTGAGCGACAGAATCTTGTGAAGCTACGATTATCTGTCGTCACATTTTTATCGTGACGTTGTATTTATCGTCGGATGACTGTCGTTCTAGCTCTTCCCATTGTCAAGACAGTCTGTAGTCGTAATGACAAAAAATTCGTGAACTACTTCTATGTGTGAACAACTTCATTTAAATTACACGACTCGTCGTTACGACATAATGGGAACGCGCCCTTTTAGAAACAATTGACATATCACAATTTAACAATTGACTTTCTTGTCCAAAATTTAGTATCACCCACAGACCATGTGTCAACATTTTTCTCGTTTATCACGAATCAACGTAACTTACTATTTTTACGGGAATAAGTTATTTGCGTAGTTCGATTCGGAATTTCATGTTCTATGTTAGGATATAAATGACTCGTTTCTGTCAGTATTGTAAGGTGCATCCATATCACAGGCATGTGGAAACCAGTGAAATGCTATTCCGGAAGATATTTTGATTTATACCATGGATATAGGTTACGTCTAATTACGATATCATTATTACCAGCCAAGTTTTTTTTATATGCTTGCCTTTTTATACTTTTTAACCGACTTTAAAAAAAAAGAGGAAGTTCTCAATTCGACTGTATTTTTTTAATGTATGTTACAAGATAACACCGAGCCGATTTGTTTTTTTTTTAGATTTAGAACCGATTTTAATGATTTTTTTTGTTGGAAAAGGGCTCCCTCAGTATTGGTCCCATTTAAATTTGAAGAAAATATTTCACCTCTAAAGGTGACAAAGTAGGGGATGAATTTTCGACAAGTTCAATTTAGACCAGTTTCGCGCACTTTCCGGTAACCGATTTCAATAAAACTTGGCAAGTTGATGTAATTACACGAACATTTTTTTTTACCTCAACCTTTACTTTATTTTATTATATATTTTATTTAATTTTACCAATAATGAATAGCGGTCGGTATCTGCCACCTATCGTCTGTAGCATGGCTCAAAATACTAGGCACCTTAAATTTGCGATAATGTCCAGTAATGCGAGTTGACTTAACCCCGAAAATAATGTTTTATTGTATGTAATCTTATCGTAGAGTTTTAATTTTAGTATTAACGGTATCAACTAATCACTCAATGTCATATCATTTGTGTTTTTCATTGTGTCTCTTAATCTGTTCGCTGAAAGAATGTCACTATTCTTTTTAAAGCTAAACATATTTTTAACGGGAAGACGCCTTCACCCTTTCTGATATCTCAACGATAGAACATTTTTAAACTATTTTTTTCTTTTCAGATGGCTACTCAGCTAAAATGGGGCTTAGCAGGCGTGGGTATGATTGCTCACGACTTTTTGACATCCTTGGGCACTCTACCAGCTGATCAGCATAGTGTTGTAGCTATAGCAGGAAAAGATTTAGAACGGGTACACAGATTGGCCACTTTGCACAAAATACCTACAGCATATGAAGGCTATGAAGCTTTAGCACGTGATGATTCTGTAGGTAAGGGAAACCGTCGTATTCAATCATTTGATAGTAAATAGTTTTAGTAGTAACTATCACATTTTTTGAGTAAAACTTCTTTAAAACAGCTTGTTCGTCTAAACCCTTAGTTTCCAAAGTGGTCCATATGGACCCCCAGGGGTCCACGGGAGACTCGACGGGGGTCTACGTTGGTGTGACAAACAATAATATGGATATGGAATATGGTAGAAATGTAGCTGCAAGGAGTCCACCGGAACCATCTAAATTTTGAAAGTGGTGGTGGAATAGAGACGAAGTGTCATTTAATTTGTTTGAAAGCTATTCTGCCAAATCTTTACTGCGACAACTGCACGCCGATTGAACAGCCCGAACTCGTAACAATTGATGGGTGTCGTCAATATATATATACGTGACGCGCACTATAAGTTTCCGGAATGAATAAGAAAAAAATACTATAAATGGTCAGAAATGAATTTATTGTTTCTCAGAATATTCTCCGTTAACGATAATGCACATTTTTCATACTAACGAACCAATTTTGAAAACATTTATGCCACTTCTCCATCACAATCTCTAAAATACATCGAGTATACATATAACCAGAAACAGAGACAAAATGTCATTTAATTTGTTTGAAAACTATTCTGCCATATCATTACTGTGACCAACTGCGCTCCGATTGGCTAGCCCGAATTCGAAACAATTGACGGGTGTCGTCAACTGTTTCACTTCAAATCGACCGGTTAACTTGAGCTTTGCTATAATGGACGAAAATTGCAAAATTACATATTTAATTACCGATGAAATGTGATTCCGTTTCTTTTGTAATTAGATGTTTCACTGTTTTTCCCACACCACCGAATAGACGGCACGGCATTGTTAGAGATATTATCTTTATTACAATAAATACAGAATATTTTTTGAAATATACAGAGACGTACACACAGGTCAGTAGTTGGCCTGTCTATATTTCAGTGCAAACGGGAGTTGATATTTATGAGAGCTGTATCGCTAATGTGTTACCAGGAATATATGGCCCTTATTTCGTCTCTATTTCTGGTTATATACTCGATGCTGCAATACTACGAAAATTTTCATGAGTTAAATCCATGGTGATGTAGATAACCAACTTCTAAAATGACGCCACAATGTAAAAAGAAGTGACAGTCAGATCAAACAAACTGTTTTCTACAGCCAAAGAGTTCCATTTTCGAATGTTGTAATTACTTTTTAAATTTTGTTTACATAAGTGGCCAGTTCCGGAAACTTATAGTGCGCTCTATGTATGTATATATTTGTGTTAAGTTAATATAAGAAAAAAATATTTTATTTTTTGCGGTGGTGGGCGTTGAAGTTGAAGGCGGTGGGGCAAAAAATTTAGGAATCTATGGTCTAAACGTTCGAGCAGTCCTGCTGTACTTTCTACGGTTCAGTTTAGAACAAACGTCTACTTGACATAACTGTCCCGCACGCAAGCAAGTTCTGCCCATATCTTAGCAGCGAATAATGCTAAAGTTATGAAACCGTACACCGAAGAAAATAAAACTTCATGTAAAAAAAAACTCCAATTCTTAACAGATGCACAAGGCAGTATTTTTTTAATTAAATAAATAAATACATTGAGTAAATACCCGTTTATTGTTACACTATCATTCCATCAATTATGAACAGTGTTAAATTAAAAGCAATTAAAGAAACGACTCGCCTTTATATTTTATATATTCATTGTCGCCATTGCGCCAGCTTCATTCTTGAACGTAACCTTACAAATATTGATTGCCACCAAATTTATGTAAGGTTTCGGGTCAAACAAATTCCTTTTTATTTCAGATATTGTATTCGTCAGTATCTTAAATTTACAACACTATGAAATAACAAAGTTGATGTTAGAAAATGGAAAACACGTGCTCTGCGAGAAGCCAATGGGTATGAATTATAACCAGACAAAATCGTTAGTGGATCTAGCTCGGGAGAAAAAACTGTTTCTTCTCGAAGGGATGTGGTCTCGATTCTTTCCTGCTTACGACGCTTTGGAGCAGCACATTGCCTCGGGTGGTCTCGGGGACGTATATCACATCAGCATACAATTCGGGGTCGAAATTAATGACATTGAAAGAAACTTGTAAGACATTTTTATTCGCCTTGCTTTTTATGTACAGTCGGCGTCCAAATGATTTGAGCCTTAGTTACTGACCAAAAATATCTACCCATCTATACTGCCCACCTTATCATAACTAACGTAATCGACATTTTTAGCGTAATTGAGTTATTAACATTTTTGGAATCAGAAAAACGAAATCTTCATCCCTATTGCCATTTTTTGTATTTGAAATGTCGTAAGGGACATTTTCTCGTACCACAATGTCCCTTATCGATGCCTTACCTTATCAAACTCATATCTTATAAAGAGTGATTATTCAGGAGATGGCAAAACTTTATATTTCTTTTGTTTTAAATTTCTTATCAAGGGTGTTAATTTGGATGCATTACTTTAAGAATACGTAAAAACCAGTGTGTAAATATGAAGGAAATGTGATGTGACATCAGCCTGAAAAATTTGTATATACAATCCATTTTTTGCATTTCAGTAACTTTGTGTTTTAAGATACGAGTTTGAGAAAGTAAGGCGACGTTATGTCAAAATGTCCCTCACGACCTTTTAAATTTCGATACATCAACTAAATTATATTCACTTTATATCTGGTGGAAATTGGAAATGTCGTAAGGGCTATTATGTCGTCAGGGACATTTTGTCGTAAGGGAAAATGTCCTATACGACATTTCAAATTTCCACTGTCGAGTTGTTATTTAGATTCAATTTTATTGTTGAGCAAAATCAGCGTTATTACCATTTTTCAAAGAAAAAAACTAAGTGCCAATATCTAGAAAATTACCAAATTACAAATGCTTTACTTAGACAAGGAGGGCAGTATAGTGATCGATTTTTATCTGTACGTTTAGTCAGAGTTCTAAAAATACCTTACATAATATTTGACAAAAAATATCTTTACGTCAATTAATTCAACGTACATTTTTTGTTTCGGTCAAATATGACCAGCACTTTAGCTTATTCTTTTAGATCACTTTGATGCTGATTGTAAACTAAGTAAGTTACGAAGAAGTAAATCTTCAAGGGTTTATGATATATTTTACTTTTGGAAATCACCAATGAAAATAATTCTGTCCCACGTTGTATTGCATTGCGCGGTATTACGCTATGGTTGTACTAAACAATGTAACCTTTAATATTTGAACAACGTTTGTACACTTTTAGGTAAAAACCCTAAGAATACATCTTCGTAATCTCATAATTATATCTTCTCATCATGATTGACTACATTATAACTCATACTTTTCGTATATTTTAATCGGCTTCTCTATTTTTCTATGGCTGCGTTTCAAGGTTATAACAATAATGTCATTGTGCATTTGGCTGTGACACTAATTGGCTCTATATTTCATAACATCATTCATCAACTTTAGGCAGTCTTTTTAATCGACTTCAAAAACAGGAGAATGTTCTCGATTCGCTGTATTATTTTTTATGTATGTTATATCGTAACCAGATTTGTGTACCGATTTTGATGATTGTTTTTTGTTGGAAAGAGGGTTCGTCAGTTGTGGTTCCATTAAAGAAGAGTGGCGACATCCCGTGTATTTTGTGACCCAGTGTTTTTGACAACGTGCATTAAAGAGACCTATCATTACTTGTGATTCATTATCAAAGCTTCAAAAAAGCTAATTGAGTACAGCCTGTAGAAGCTGGGGGTTATAAACTTAATACAGGTTATGTTTATAACATTGTCCTGTATTTCGCTTCAGATGTTTGTTCGTAGTAGCAGAAAACAACAAGTTTTCAGTTTGTTCCCAAAAACAATAAAGAATTTGCTGATTATTCCTAAATCTGCCAAACTCTGCCACAATAAGTGGTAGTACGGCAACTCCCGCCTGTTCGTTGCGTAAATGCCTACACTTCGCTCGGAGCTTAGGGTTGTTCCATTATTATTTTAATTGTGCCCAGAGGTTGTAAACATAATTTGAAATATTAAGGTTAGTTCATCACAATGTTCTTGGTATTTACGTATCTATATTTTTATACCATTATCGCGTATGGTATCTTGATTATGGAGTGTGATTATGAAATAAAAATTAAATGCTGAACAATTCTGAATTTGAGGCAGTCTTGTTCAACTAGCACAAACACAGCAACAAACACGTCTACCATTTGATGTAGTTTTTTTAAATAACGAGCGTCCGCTCCAATTCTATAGAATTAACGGACGTGTGACGACCCGCGCTATGCATCTCGAGTGAACCGCGAGATTATTCGAATGTGTGCGTCTGTATACGGCGCGCGGCGGGCGTACACATATACAAGCCGCGCTGCTGCGTTTGTATGGAGTTACCATACTTGTGTTATTATACTATGCTTCAGATCTGAATACCTCACAGTCGAGAACGCATTTGTTAAATTATAGACGCTTCATTAGTATCACAAAAGTCCCCTCCAACAGTTTGTCAGCTTGAGTAACATAAAAAAATTCTTTTTTGAAATTAACAAACTCGTTGTCTTCCTTTGCTGACAAATTGCTTTTTCACCATATAATTATGGTGCAAAAGATATCTATGATAGATATCTATGAAAGATATCATGAATAAGATATCTATGAACCAAAACGTTCATAAATTATTGTCGTTCACTGGTTTTGTAAACTTTGTAGTTTACAAAACGAGTTATACGAGATACTTTAGGGTATAAAGGGTGTAAAGGACACCCTTTCTACCCTAAAGTATGGATATGTAGCTCACATGGCATGACATTATTGGGATCGGAGTCTCAAGGCCGAGACTACTGGAGTCTGCTTACGACATTTCTGACGTAGGTACGTCTTTATGTACCTGTTTTAAAAGAAATTAGTTCTTTATAGGGCAGCAACATGACGACAGTTGAAATACAGTTTGTGAGAGTAAATTCTTATGCAAATAATTTCAGGATGAAAGATTTAGGAGGCGGTGCGGTATTAGACTTAGGCGTATACATGCTCCAGTTAGTACAATTCGTATACAAGGATACACCAACAGATATCGTATGTACTGGCCACTTGAGCAAAGCAGGAGTGGACGAATCTATATCTTGTGGCTTGAAATATAAGGACGGAAGAACTGCCACGATCTCTGCGCATACCAGAGCCACTATGACGAATAAAGCTGAAATTATTGGAACTAAAGGAACTATTGCGGTAAGTGCGACATACGAGTATGTTATGTTCTTCTTCGTATTGTATCGATGGTATACACTTGAATGCTTGCCATAGTAGAGAAAGGATTTCACATCGCTATGAGGTCTCTCTCACTCGCCCATGGTCCCCAGGGTACGTCAGACGTACATGAAACGTATGTATATCATGTAAAAGTTATAAAAGAGAACAAAACTTTTTCATTAAATTTCAGCGTTCTCAAAATTCGTCTATATGCGATTTTTATGTAGTAATACTGAGATGTGTGTTGATAACGTATGTAATTTATAGTTGAAACATATTCCCGAGGTGATCTCATCCAATTTTGGTTTTAACTACTTTTAACTATGACGAAAATATGACGTGTGTCTACGGCCATTTGTGCAATATGACCATATTCACAGTTTTAATCGTTTACATGTTTAAGAGGTGAAGAATCTGGCTGTTACATCAAAGATTCCTCATTAAAACGCAGCACTAACTTTGAAGTACGAGTGTATAATAAGAGTGTATACCTGCCTCCGTGGCCGAACGGTTACCATGCCGGACTGCGACGCAGAGGTCCCAGGTTCGATTCCCGGGCCGGGAGCAATACTTGTATGGCCTACATTTATTTATCTCGTGAGTTTGGATGTAATTTGTGGTTGTCTAGGTGTGTGTCCATGGCTCCCGCGACACAGGGTTTCCCTAGTGCGAGGCTATGTTGAGTGTGCGCGTTATTATTATAATAGTAATACTATTTTTTATTCAAACTGTTTTATTTAAAAAAAGTTGAGTAGCCTAATGGTTTGACCTTCCGCCTCTCAAGCAGAGGCCGCGGGTTCGAATCCGGGTACCTCTGAATTTCTCGGAAGTTGTGTGCGAAATTTAATTTAAAATGTACCATGATCATTGCGGTGAAGGAAAACGTGATAAAACTTGCAGAGTCCCCAACCCTCATTGGGCCAGCGTGGATGCCTACTATGGCCAAAAATCTCGCCAGAGACCCGTGCCCAGCAATGGGAAGTATAAAATCGATGATGATGATGAAACGGTTTTATTGTAGGTGATGTCTTCTGTAACGTATATTATTAAAATTATTTATATTTTGTATCCACGACCTGGTAAAGGTTATGGCGATCTTTTGGGAACCTTTGTTCAGTAGTGGACTTGTTTCGGTTAAAACTGTGAAGCTGATGCTGATGATTACGATATTTGGAAATCGTCAAATTGCCATAATTCAGTAGTCGAATAGTCAGACCGTCTATTGAATATTTTACCACAAACAGCACATCAAAAATTATACATATGCATTCTTTATGAACCTAAATAGTTTTATGTTTAGTACTGTGCGTGATTAATCGCAGTATATATTCAAGAACTTAACCAACTATCGAATACATCTCTACTCATATGGTCGAATGATTGAGCGCAAACAATAAAACATGCACGAACTCAATCGTATAAGACAAACTGTGACTGAAGCGTCCTTTTAGATTTTCTTTAGTCACGTACGGTACGCACATTCAATGGACCATTACGCGGGATTATGAATGAAATTCCTGTATCTCACGATGCGGTTTCGAGCTTCCGTAAAATCCACTGATTTCATATTCATATTATACCATCATTGCAAATACTAGCTTTATTAAAAGTGGATTTGCCGTACAATTACACAATAAGGCCGATAGCCGTCGTATTCCACTTTAATATTATACAGGACGCAGTGAAATGTTAGTGCGACCACGAGAAAAACAGCTGATTATAATACATGTACCTATGCACGATACAGGGACTACAGCAAAAGTAACTGCGATCAATGTTTGTTAAGTTTGAATACATAACTCATAAAAGTTAGTGCAATAACACTGTGATATTAGAGGAAATATTGCGATGTTAATTAGCAGCTAATTAGAAGAAATAACATCAAATTAGCCGAAAGCATAAGGGTCTTAGTTATGTCAATCCAGTTTATCTCCACGCAAGTTTTGCGTCGATTGCGTGTCACCTCAAGTGTTTTGTACATTTTTAATATAGTAGCGCGTGGTAGTGTGTAGACACATTGCTGTAAGTGCAAATATGGAACCAGGTTATACTCAACAAATTGATGGCTTCCAAATAGCGACATATCTCATAAACAGTTAATTGATAATAATGTGACAAATTACCGCACCGATTTATCTACCTTCAGGGCTAAGAAGGCCGTATTGGCAGAATCATAATATGAATAATTGACAATTCATATTTTGAATTTTCAAACAAAACAAAAAACGCAATGAATCTATTTGACAGTGTTTTATGGAGGTCTCCATAGAACACTGACAAATAGATTAATTCCATTATGTGAATCGTAAGAAATTCTTAATATGAATTGTCAATTAATCATATTATGATTCTGCCAATACGGCCTTTTTAACCCTGCTGGTCTTAAACTAGGAAATTTCCTGCACTATAAGTACCATGGGGTACTACTAGAACAGACCAGAACCAATTTAGAAAAGTCAATTTCCTGGATTGATCAAACTCAAAACACCGTCGACGAATCTAATAACGAGAATAATAATAACTTACTTATTTAAGCCACTTACAGAGCATGTTCTATTACTAAAAAATTACAATACAATGGATAGCTTGTTAGTATTATCTCCAGATATGTCCCCTGATATTCAAACTAGGCTAACCTGTCTCACGAAAGTCAATGGTTCAGTCAGTGTTGTCGCAGTGTCATATTGTCATACAAGTAAAGCTCTTTGAAAATTAATGAACTTTTTGATTTGTGCCACACTTGAAAATCAACGAAACAACAAAATAATACAACAGAAAACCTGCGTCATGGGATTTTTTTTGAAGGCATTTATTTTTATGATACCAGTGATGGGACGTTCGAGTCGTACGCCTGCTGCTAAGAGCGACACGCCTGTACATGGTAGTTATAGTACCAATCGCGTAGTTCTGAGGAGCACCGCCACATCGTGAGATAGTGACAAGTCCTATGTGCCTGTAATTTCAGCAACACCCTTACCATTCAAAACCGGAACGCAGCAACGCTGACATTACCGCCTGGCGACAGAAATAGATAAGGCGGAGCAAAATCTGCACCATAGGAAAAGAACTCTTAATGCGAGCAGATATTCTTTCATTTCCAGTGCCTTTTTGAAATCCATGCACTATTTTCCGGTATCTTCTTACTCTTATCAATTGAAGTTAATACCTTTATTTCCGCTGTGCCGAAATTGTTAAATACTGAGTTCGTTTTCAAAACAAACGCTAAACCAAGCGAACGAGCTTAGTGGTAAAAATAATATAAATAAAATTGCTAATTCATTCCTGCTTCTCAGTTTTAAAAGTTTATTCACTTGCTACACAACATTTTAAAGGTCTAAATTTACCAAAACTATTACGGTTTCGGCTTCCGTTTTATAATAATAGTTATCGATGAACATTCTATTTTTTATCTCCTGCTTCTGTTGCCGACCGCAATTTACACATAGCTTGTATATTGTTTACGTAGGTATTTACTGTGTAGAACTGATAAATAATCTTTATTGCTAGGTGGTGGTTATCTCAAAACTACAGCGACCTATTAATTTTCTCGCGCAATCCGCACGAACATAACCTTCTTTACTAATGATTTTAGTAATCTGCGCAATGCAAAGTCGACGTCACCATCAACCCACTTTGGCAAACAAACCCAATGCGGGTTGCGGACTTCACACGTTTTCCGAGGGTTGTGAAGCTTCTTCGACGTCAGGTTTCATCACGATGTTTTCCTGAACCGAAAGTTTCATATTAAATTTCAAATTAAATTTCGCACATAAATTCCGAAAAACTTAGAAGTGCGAGCCTGATTCGAACCCACGGCCTGTGCTTGCGAAGCGGTAGGTCAAACCATTACGCTACGATGTCTTTTTTTAATGCAAAATAATCTATGAAAAATTACATTTCCGTTTTATTAGGACATTCCTGTTAACTTGCTGCGTTCAAACAAAGTTTGATCCTATTTGCCAAATTACGTAGGTGAACTCAAATTCAGTAGAAGGCAATCTAGAAGGTAATATCTACGGTCGTTGTTTATGAGTATGCCGTTAGAATATATAGTTTTAAAATTACACGGGTTAAAAAAAACTCGTAATTTTCGTACGAAAAATCCCAACCTTATGCTAGTAAAGTCATCGTCATATTAATTAAGACCTAGGCTGTCAGTAGCCTCATCCACTTCTCACGGTTCATAGCCAGCTCCTTGACCTGCTTATAGCTGTTCATTTTGACGTTCTTCTTTATTTATCCGTTATAGCATTCTTGGTCTTCATCTTTTTCATATCTATTTTCCCCTCAAAAAAATAAAAAAAAATTATTTCTTGAATGAAAAACTATGAAACATAATTATTAGCTTTCTTGTGAATAAAACACAGACCCTTCCGTTGGTTGATAACGTGATGACGATGGACCGGTATACGACTTGTCGTCTTTACACGTCAGTTTTTTTAATGAAGTAAGTGTTTTTTGAGAAGTATCTTGAAATATTATTTAATATTTCACAATAATATTCTCGAATAGATAAAGTTTCTTTCTTTATAATATGTATATATATATGAAAATGAAATATTTTTCGAAATGATCGCTTTGTTTTTGAATAATCTATCACATATTTGCACTTACAGTCAATGTCGCCATAAATCATCACGCGACAAGGTAATGAAATTCAAACTACAAATTGCCTAATGGGGCCGCGTGGCCTGATTCTACTGTTGTCTTTATTGCAGCGTATTAAGAGGCGTATGGATTGTGAATGCTCTCTTTTAATTCATAAATCGTATGACGGATCTACAAATATACAAAATTGTTTGTGTGACATGTTCAAAAAGACCTAAATTTTCCAAATTTTTCAAAGGAAATGAAACTATTTTCTGTCTGCCAGTCGCGACCATGGGACCTGTAAAGGGACCTAAACGTTGGTTTGATTGAAAAACACAAGATATGCGATTTAGATCCGAAAAAAAAACAAAATGTCATTTCCTATATGTAACAGTCGCGAAAACTTAAGAACTTTATATGTTATATCTAATATAATAATTATTAGACAAGACATTATCATACGTCCGATCAGTGGGCATAAGACTTCTCTAAGGGGACAGTTTTCCATAGTCCAACATGCTGGCTCATTGCGGGTTGAGAACTTCACCACTTTGTCCTAGAGTTGTGAACCGTCATCTGAATACATCTTTCATCACAATGTTTTCCTTTACCGTTAGCGAACTTAGAAATTAAAGCCGTAAATACCTGTCAACATCGACCTAATGCCTCAACTAAGAAGGAACCGTTCTCTCATTGGACTTTCACCTCTCTATTTTTATAGACACAAGTTGCTAAAGCATTTATTCCCCAATTCCAGCTGGACTACTTCTGGTGCCCCACAGTGCTGCATATATCGGCGGCTAACAACACAGAGTGGACATTGCCTAAGGGAAAATACAAGTTCCACTTCCACAACAGCGCCGGGCTTAGCTACGAGATTCAGGAGTGCTGGGATTGCATCAATGAAGGTAACCTTTTCAGAAGTTGTAGCATTAGTGGTACACATACATCACTCACTTAGTAGCAGTAGAGGTACTTGTGAAAGAGTCCCGGTTTTGAAGGATAAAGGTGCTGGTAAAATTACAGGCACATGGAATTTGTCAACTTATGTCTCAAGGTGACAGGGTGGCTCTGCAATTACTATGCACAGGCACAGACGTGTAGCTTAACATCAGGCGCATGACTTGTTCGTCGCATGTGTTTTCTTTTTCAAACTACAAATTTGAACTCTTTGTAAACGTTGCAATGTACAATTTTCAACAAAATATTTTTAATTTTTATAATGTATATAAATTAGCTCAGCGGTCAACTGGTTCTGAGTGGTACTAATAGTAAAAATGGAAATATTCATAATTCCTTATTAAATTTAAAATAATAGAATCGTAGTAACACTGAAGGGGCTATATTTACATTGCCGCTGAACGGATCGGAAGCGAATTTTTGTAACGGAATTGTACAGTCGGTGCCTAAATAGCGGATACCTAAGTGAGTACACCGACTGGACATAGCACAATGAACTTCATGTCAATTATGTAACATGTAAACTATCATATCTGATATGAATCAGGATTTCCCAAGACTGTGCGAGAATTCTCCGGAAGACGCGCTACAAGTTTTTTACTTCGTTCCTCGGCTCGGTTACAAAATATCGCTTCTTTTCATTTCCAATCATCCGTTACAAAAATAATACAATCACGCGCATACACACATACACAAACACACCCAATAATTTCTTTTAGGTATTCTTTATATATAAATTATATACTTCCTCAACACTTCTCACCGTCATCGTCAGTACCAATTATCTTGACTAGAGGTTGGGTGCCCGGAGACCCATATCACATGCTGTGCTTAGTGTGGGATCCAGTCTCCCACAATACATTACTCTGTGTAATAATATGTTTTTCTACTGTAATGTTCCTTTGTTTTGTATTGTGGAGATAAATAACGATATTTATTATTATATTTCGTTCCGCGATGAGGTAAAGTGAGCCGAAAAGCCGTACGTCAATGTCTTTATTGCAACACTAAAATGCTTTTCCTGTCATTATAAAAATAATCTACGGTTTATTTTTAATATTCTTTTGGGCGATTGAAAATATAAATAATATTTTGAATACAACAGTCGTGTATTTATATTAATGTCCTTCAATTCCCCACAATACAATAGAACAAATGACATTGAATAGTAAAAATAATGTTTGGTACCATTGAAGTTGGCCTTGTGTATCGATTCATATTGTTTGTAGATTGACTACAAGATAACTTCGTGTTTTTAAAGGGCTTTTTATTCCTTTATTTTATAATAGTAAGTTACCAAGTCTCACATTACCGCTTGGCGGCAGAAATAGGTAAGGTGGTACTTCCCTTGACGAACTCTTTCACAAGGAGCTCTACTGCAAAAAAACTCACTCACTCACTGCTAATGCACCTTTGTATCGGAAAAGGAATAAAAATTTTATGAATTTCTAGAACAATTAAAACAAAGTGTCTTTGACTTCGTCGGTGTTTTGTAGAAAAGGCGAAAGTGCCATTTCGAAAATTTTTTAGGCGAACATGTTTTAATTTTTCACGACTGTTTTAAAATATTTGTGTGCTGTTTTAAATTCAATTTTAAAACTTAAACCTAATTAAAACTAAAATTTAATTTAAAACAGGACGTAAATATTTTAGAACAGTCGTGAAAAATTAAAAGATGCTCCACTAAAAAATTTTCGAAATGGCAATTTCGCCTTTTCTACAAAACACCGACAATATATTCCATCTTTTAACCAAGATACAGATATAACTATTTTACCGCGTCGAAAATTGAACACTGTTTTCTTGCGTATACGGTAGAATTTACAATGTACTTTTTTACCGGTACTGAAATTTGTACTGGTATTCCACCTTATCTCCAAGTGTTTTGTGTTGAATTTACCCAAACGCCTATAAAGCTTATCTCGTTAGTTCCCTACTTGGAACACGTATTATTATGTCTCACTGCCGGGGATGACTTTTGAAAAACACCTGCTCTGGGATATTAAGTAATTGGTACCTAAACTAAAAGTCATATTGTTAATTTATTATAAATGCTTTAACCAAGTTTGTGCTATTGCGACACATTCTGTGTATGTTAATTTTGTAAAGCAAATAAAGTAAAAATATTTTTATTGTATTTTTGCGTGTCATGTGTAACGCTTCACACAATAAAGGTTAATGGTATTTGTTGAACATAAAAGTCTTTCTCTACACTATTTACAATGTTTTACGACAGCTGTTATAAAATTACCGACGCATGATTATTATCTCAGTACTTGTAAAAGAATTTACTGGCATTACTTTATGCATATATTTATAGGCACATATCTTTCTACATTAGTTTTAATTATAGTGACCTTCCCTACCGACTCTTAGGGTATACGAGAACGGCACTATAACCTGTGCACAGGAACCTAATTAGTTCCGGTTCTGACCCCAGATGAGCCAGTGTACAGAATTGTCACAGACCTCTGTCACTTGACTTCACCCGGTTCTCGAGAGGCTAGTGCCTCGGGTGAGCCGCCCCGGGTGCACATACAGTACCCTCCGGTACCTATTTTCCAGATAGGTACAGGAGTTGTAGGCACGCTCACTTCCCGTTGTGCATTGCACAACTAGCGGTTGCCACCGCTAAGCCGTCGACTCTATGTTCTGTAGACAGATGTTATGGACCCCTATATTTATCTAACTGCCATCTCAAATTACGAAAAAACTTAAGGATCTAATTAAATTTGGTCGCAGCTTCGTGGTCATTCATGCTTTGAATAATTTTCAGTTTAGATTTCTCTACCTAATTTCGATGGCAATTTTTATTATTCAAGTATTCGAGTATATCATCTTGAAATATTGAATCATATTTCAGGTTACGATACTCGAATATTAAATAATACCTACTTCATTATAATATTATACAACATTTTAATTATTGCCACCGAAATTAATTATCAAAAACTAACCTAAAAATTACCCCTTTCTCTTTCCCCTTTTTCACATGTTTCAAAACTGTACGAGAGAAATAGTCGATCGCGCCGCTGCCGCTCGGATTACAAATAGAGCTTAACTGCACTAAAATTAAAAACTTAATTACATAGCCTGCACTAAAGTTTCAGTTAACGCCATAGATATTAAAAATGTTACCACATACAATATTTATCCTAAAATAAGTAAATAAATCTTTCTTATTTTTCAGGTTTACTGGAGAGCCCAAAAATGAGCCTCGATGAAAGTGTTCTACTATCGAAATTAACAGATACATTGAGAGCTCAATTGGGTGTACTGGAAAACGGACTTTGAATACACGATACGATTGTAACACGATAATCCAAGCATTAATTTATTGATTATCTTTGGCATTTGACGTTAAGTTTCTTGCATGGTTTACACGAGTCTATTCATTAATTCCGATGCATTCTGTAGGTACTCAGTCTTTCGCTTCCTGGAAACCGAATTCAGACATCCAAAAACGAATTTACGGGATACAGAAACCGAAAAATTGGGGGCAGATTCTGAACCAAGTATTGTTTCTCGAGTCCAGTAACAGTTACTCTGTCTGAAGGCTGGGTATGTGTATCTGAATGTGGAAAATTGTATAACCAGTCGTTATTATCCAAGTTCAACATACAGTCATTATCATCGACCTCCATGGTCGAGTGGCTTGCGCACTGGTTTTCATGGTGTCGCCGTCCGTCATGGGAGGCCCTGGGTTTCGGTATCAATGTAGAAAAACGAACTTTATTGTCTCGGATCTGTGTGTTTGTGGTACCGTCGTTGTTTCCGATTTCCATGTTTTAGTAACTTACTTTGGGATCAGAGTAACGTATATAATGTTGTCGGGTATTTATTATTTATTTATTACCCACTCATACTCGGCCCAACTTCATCCACACTCAAATTTAAATTGCCTAACTTTGAAATGTCCAATTTGAAATAACTAAATGCTCTGTACCGGAATGATTGTACTTTAAACGGGTGTTAAATTTCGCTTATATTACAGTAAAATAATATAAACTAACCTAACCTATGAAGCGATATTTAATTACTCTTCTAGGTCGTATCATTGAGTTCTGGGTACGTATTATGTCACTACGGAGTGGAGCTAGTTAAGTGTTTATACTTGTAATTCAAACTTAAATCTTTATATCCTCGATTCTTATAGCTTTGGTAATTCGGCCTTTGTTATAATTTTGGTATTTTTACTGGAACCATAAACCCGCCATTCGCCATTTTAAAATTTGATTTTAGAATTTTCGACATTCAGATATGTAACCTGTACTTAACTGCCACGAAACACTTAGACACTGAATTTGAAAACAGATTTACAGAAAAATTTATCCGTAATTGAGAATTACGATATCATGTCCTCGTATAAATCTTGCTTTTGCATTTCGCACGCTCAATATTGATGTGGCCAAAATCGAAAAGTTGGCTTTGGGACACTGATAAAATATAGAAGCGCAAGATATTTGTATTAACTATGGGCGTATAGCAGTATTACGCGCTTTATGTCACTCTCGCGCAAGTCGCGCCCTGTCGTGGTAGCCCTACAGGCGTTTACGCCAAACGATATAACGACAAACGATACATTGTGAAATTCTTAGGTTTTCACGATTATTGCACATTGAAAATGAAACAATTCTTTTTGGATTATTGATTTTTATTGAATCTCACGATGTTTTGCCAACGTGATATTCATATATATTTTTGTGAAATAACCCCACTAGTTTGCTATAATTATTATACAAGGATCGAACACAGAAAATTCCTTCAAACTGACGGTATTGGAAACTGCGACCACGCTGTATCGTAGTGTTTTGGATCTAAATTGTCTATTGAATCGTATGTTTTGTTTTTTTTTCAAAAACAGTCATCCGTCTCGAAACGTTGGTTTGTTTGATAAAACAAATATACGCTATTTAAATTCAAGTAATAAATATAATAGTTATAAATATTTCCAACGATATATTACTTTTATTTCATACATACTTTTAAATTTGTCAGTTTCTCCAAAATTTGACTTTTCTAAACTAGTCTAATATTGATGGGTGCAATTTTACTGATTGTGCGAATTGTCGGATAATCCTTATCTTATTATTTCGCTGTTTGTGACTACCCAGTCTTAATATTACGTACTTACATATAAAAAACTTATTATTATGTATGTATTGTTAAAGATAAATGAACGTGTTGAATTAAATATGATAAATAATGATAAATTCCTTACATTAAAATAGAACGTACACGTGTTGAAACGAATACATCTTACAGTTATAATCACTATGTAACAAATTTTATAAAAGGTTCTCTTTTTGGGGGGCTACTCCCATTCATTTCATTCGACATTCGTCCGAAACAATAACTAGCCACGGACTTGTATATTAAACTGGACTGCGCACTAAGTTAATAAAGCGAGCCGAGTAAGAGGCTTCAAAGTAGTAATGCGTCTCTTTCTAATAGGGTGTTCATTCATGTTTTAGCCAGCCATATTGTTTAAACTATTTAATTTTTACAAAAATTGTGGCAGTTTATGGATGACCAAAACTACTAATAACATTTCATAATACAAATTAGTATACTTATTTGATATGCTACTTCATAATAGAAGGTTTCTTGTGTGATATGTATATTTTTTGTATTATTATAGTAAAAGGGTATTTATTACCTTTAAGCTAATTTTATTTAACCAAAATTTAAACCAAAAGTTAATAGACTAGACACTACCTAAGATGATTTTACTTAGCGTTGGCAACTTGTTAGACAAGGACAGACCACTACTTCGAGCTATCTCTCGTGACTCGGTTTTTTACTTTTACTTAAAATAAACCTTAACATAACCAAATAAGGTGTAAATTTGTAATATTGGTCCTTTATTATTGGGTATTTGTAGAAGATCCAGTTTATGAAGTATATAAATCCGTGTAACTGGCAAATAAGTGATACTCGACCTAATTAAAACAAGCGCGATGCGATTGAAGCTTCATACTTGACATTGTTTTATAATTGGGTCGAATATTACTTATTTGACTGTAATTGTTTCAGACGGATGTCGGATGGAAAACTGAAGTAGACCCCTGGTTTGACAGTATTGGTTTCTGTTGAAATGAGCTGCCAGTGTGTAGAAATGAGTAGCTATATCCCTGAAATTTTGCTTTTGTGGCTATCACAGTGGAATTTATATAGCTGCATGTTTACGCAATCTTGCAAATCTACACATTTCTAGGTTCTTTGTCATCGATTTGTAGAATTTGGGTTAAAATTTACTACTGATTGGAAGTATAAATAAAGAGACCCGAACATTTGCACGTACTCTTAAAGATACGCAAGTATCAACTTTTCGTTGTCTTGACCACAAAAGCAACTTGCAGGGAAATAATGTTTTTTTTTTCATGTTTTTTATGTTAGAACCAATTAGAAACTGTACCAAACCAGAAACAAAAATCGTGTTACATGGTGATGTGTAATAAATATACTCTATATTCACTCATTGTTAATAAGTGCCTGTAATTCGTGGAACAAATAAAATTGTGATAATAAATATTATATTTCTACTGGACATTAACAATCGCACAATAAAGATAAGTGCATATTATGTCGGTTTCGTAGACTCGTAGAACATAATTTACAGTTGTGCAATTTTATGCAATCCGCTTTGGCGTAGAGCACGTGATAAACCACAGTATTTTTACTAAAACAAGCGATGTTCAACTCTACCGACATACTCTGCTCGTAACTTAAAAATAAAATACAGTATTTTACAGCAACCAAACTGTGATTCCTAGCGTGTTGTGAAATATTTGTTATTAATAATGATGCTATGTAATTTCTTTATGCGTGTTAATAAAACTAAACTGCAGTGATGAAACTAAAGTTAATGTTCTCTTCTTTTGAATGTTATATGTTAAGTTTTATTAAAACGCTCGTCAGAATCAAAAATACACTTAAAATAAATGAGATAAACGCTTTTATTTCAAACTCTCTGATAAAACAAATCTATCTAATATTTCTGATATCTGTAGAGATTTATTTATTTAACTGACATCTTTGCTACTAGCTATGTCGTACTTTTTTTATATCAGTGACTTTCGTAGCCAGACCATAAATATTTTTTTAGTAATTTAACTTTGATATAAATCAGAGGTTCCCAACCTTTTTGTCTCGTAGGCCACTTATAAAGTTTCTCTGTTTTGCGTAGACGCCCTGCCTTTCTAATATCGATTTTTTTACAAATTCATTTGGTACCGAACCGCCAAAGTTGGAATCACTCATAAATCCCCATTACCGCCTCTTATACCTGTTGTAGACTGGTATGGACCCGTGGAGGTCAATATGGACCACTTTGAATATATGATATACACAGATATGTTGTACTAAGTGGATAATAACGGATGACATACATGGTATTTGAATAAAAACAAATCCAACAATTTCTCAACATACATATATTATATTATACTTAAATGTATATCGTTAACAGGAATATACCACGGAAAAATAATGGTATTAAAATATTATGTTCAATATACAATTAAAACATTAATCTTTTCAAATGTCATAATACTGAAATATGAGTAGATTATGAATTAGATTCATCAATTTCGACCGACCTACAAAGCAAACATCGATAAAAATTTAAACTACGTATTGAGATGTGCATTTTTGGAATATCTTTAAATGAGTCGCACAGTAATTGTATGGCACCGAAAACTGTAATAATTATATACCTATCTACTATTTTATTACACAGTTAAGAGTCGATACTACCACAGCTCGAATTCAAACTATTCCCATACCAATACAGTTCTCATTTTGCTTGGGTCGAGCGGTTGGCGTGGCGTGGTTTTTTTTATATCGTGTAAAATTTTTATGAATCGTGTTTTCGCATCGTATACTAATCAGTATTATATTTTATCCAAAGTGATTGATTCAACACTCTCACTATTATGCGGAATTAATCAAAGCTATTTGAGGATTCGCTCTGGGCCTTTTGGAGGGAAAAGTGTCGTTTTTATTTTGACTTTCAATTATTTTGTGAAATCTAGTTTAAAGTGGAATAGGATAGTGCTATTCTGCCTTAATCGAAGATTAAAACGCGAAACTATACGAATCTCGAAGTAAAATACCCGTATCGGCCCGTTCTAAGGAATCCCGAGTCAATCCAAGCACGCCGCCTCTAATTTAATTGCCTACCCTCTTTGTGGCGGCCATATTTACAGAAACATAATTAAACGAAGTCATGGCTCAAACGACTTGTATCCAAGCCAAAATTATTAATAAAAAAAGCTATTTGAGGTTGTATCAATTCTTAAGATTTTTTGCAAAAAACAATAATATTTATAGACAATATGTAAGTATATATAAGGCCGAAAATAATTATTGTTAGTTCTTGAAGTTCTCGAAAACACTTCTGATGATCTTAGTGCAGTCACGGAGTTGGGCTTCTGTAATGACAAGTGGAGGAGCCAGGCGAATAGTCTGACCGTGTGTCGTCTTGGCCACAAGACCTGCATCGCGGAGACGCAGACATACCTCGTCTGCTGGAAGATCTAATAAACAAATTACTTATTAGTTGGGTTTACACTCTAAGTACGTGGCCCTTACCAACTTTTTGTCTCAAGGAGCGTTCCCATTAGGTCGTGACGACAGATAGTCGTGCCGTGTAAAGTGTCGTTGCTTGTATATTTAAATATTATAGTTGTTCACGTTTTAGTTATAACACGATTAACTGTCGTTCACGACTTTTTGACGTTACAACGTCAGACGTCGAGACAATGGGAAGAGCTAGAACGACAGTCGTCAGACGATAAATAAAACCGCACGATAAAAATGTGACAACAGATAATCGCAGCTACTATTGTCGTTACGTTTTATTTATCGTTGTCTACACGTGTTTTACTCCCTACTCGTCTCCCGCGCCCTCGGCTCGCTGATTCTGTCGTGCAAACGACAAGGCGGCTGCCGTGAACCGATAACTTGTCACGATGTAATGGGAACAGCTAAACACGACAGTCGTTGAACGATAAAATAAACGTCCACGACAGCTAGTCGTGAGTGCGCACATCCTACTACAGTGCTCGAGCGTGGCCAACTAGGTAGTACAGGGCGACGTACCTTGGAGTGCCGAGATCGCTCCCCGAAGTCTTCAGCAAACCGAGGAGGTTGCTGAGATTCTTAGAGGAGCCTGGGTGGCACGATTAGGACCCTGCACCCACCACACGCAAAATAAGCGCCTTGACGTCGAGTTGCGTACACCAGCCCGTTACACCAAGTAAGATAGTCGTGATATGAGAACAGGCTAGACGCGACGGTCGTCCAAGGATAAATAAAAGGTTACAACAAAATGGGAACGCGCCCCTTAGCGTGACGAATGCAGTGACAGTACCCCTAAGATCTTTGCGATTTAAAGTCCTATACTGCAACTTAATCGTCCAGTTACTTAATTGGTATCATAAAAAAAAAAGAAAGTATGACGTCGTTATTGTACAAAAAAGCAAACGTGACTGAGATTTTGTGTCCATTTCTGTCTCGTTAACATCGAAGCACTTAACGAGACAGAAAGGGACACAAAATGTCAGTCAGAACTGCCTGAATGGCTGGCCGAAACCGAGAATACATTTACGTACACATCACACCACTACTCTCGATCTCCGTCCGAAACAAATAGTGTCAAATAAGTAATATTCGACAAAATTAAAAGACAAGTATCAAGTATGAAGCTTAATTCGCATCACGCGTCGTTTCATTTGGTCAAGTATTGCTTATTTGGCAGTAATTGTTTCGGACGGAGATCGAGAGTAGACCCCCTGTCCCGCACGAGGGTAGGCAGAGACTATGAAGCTACTGACTAACTTCCTTCGCTACTTCCATTCTTTTGTACTTTAAAGTTGACCTTTTTGAGGACATCTCCAATCTGATCAACACATACGCCGAGGTCTACCTTTCCCCACGCCTCAATCCACATTCGCTCTATTATTTTTTTCTCGATCTATATCTCTAATTTATAAGGACATTTTCAGATCTTAAAATATTAATGTTGTGTACGTACTATCATGAACATCTATAGCAAACATGAGTCCCCTTCCTCGAACAGTGACCACCTCATTTTTAGGGATCTTCTCTAGCTCCTCTCGAAACACTGATTCCAGTTTCGCTGCGTTTTCAACCATCTTCTCTTCTAATAATACCTGTAAGAATACAGACAATTGATAATTGATTCGGTGTATATTATTTTATTACGATTAAAAATATTTACGAATTAATGTTTTTAGTGGCACTGCAACCATCTGCAACTGTAAGGATGCTTACCCACGCAGCCGACGACTTGTTCGTACCATCACTTGATATTCATAATAAAATCACTTTATTAATTACGTATTAACAAATTAAGGCAACATTTTTATTATAATATACAGTTTTTTTAATGAGACTGTATGGGGAAATCCGAAACCATAGAAGATACAAGGAAACTGTATCAGGAACCTTTTTTTGTGAAAAAATATTTTAAAATTTTGATCAACTTCTGCTGTTCCGATTTTTTTCGTCCCATAGCATACAATGAAAAATGATCCTTACAATAAAACTGGGTCGATCAGCACTAAAAAAAATTGATCAACTTCATTCATTTTTATGAACAACACACGCTTGACCAAAAAATTTACTATGCCAAAATTGTTTTCACAAAAAAAGACTTAATAATAATAATAATTTATTGTCAGAAAACATAATATTTAATATTTGTTGTAAAAGGAGTACTTAAACTAGTGTTAGTGTGAACTTAAAAATAAAAACATAAAAATATTTTTCTATAAAAGCGACAGGACAGCGTACCCAGCCAATGCCGGGTAGATTAATTGTTCTGTACACAGTTTCCATGTATCTTCTATGGATTCGGATTTTCCCATATTGCCCCATTTATAAAAAATACTGTATAATATACGTATACTACATCGTTAAACCGTCTCGGACAAGGAGAGAGCATAATATAATATTATTCATACAAAGTCAAACATAAAGAAAATTCCTTCGACAGGACTCGAACTTGCGTCTGTGCGAAACCTGGGCGACCGCCTACCAACTCAACTACAGTCAGCAGACTTTACGAATTGTTCTATGCGTTTATTACAGATCTATATTTTTTTGTTTTAATAGATTATTGGCCGTAGCGCCATTTGTAAGAAATCTGTGAAAGTTTTTCTTCACTGGCACAGAGCGGTTCAAACCCTGTCAGATCGAAGGAATATTTCTTTGTGTTGGATCTTTGTATTAATAATTATAACAAACTAGTGGAGTAATTACACAAAACAATAAATGATTATCATGGTAGTAAAACATCATAATAGTCATCACAATTAAGATTTTTATTGTTTGGTATCGCACTGCTACTACAATAGTATTGTAACTAAAAATATGTGAAATTCAAGATTACACCATTGTGGAACGTAAAATTTGATTCTCTACACGTCAATAAAATCGTCGTTAGAATATTGTAAAAAACAACTAAAAGGTATCTACTTAACTCAAAATGAGACACGCTTTATGTGAGCTACTTTTGGCCAAAATAGTCCTTATTCAAAAATATTAAATTATTTTTTATCTTAGGAAATGAAACTATTTTCCGGATTTAAATCGCCAATATTTGTTATTCAAACAAACCGACGTTTCGGGACCTTTCCAGGTCCCATGGTCACGGTTGACTTTGATTGACGTTGATTTTTACTCTTTTATTGTTAAATATGTATATTTGATAAGTAGGAAATAAGCTATACTTGAATTTACACAGATCTGTCACGGGAAGCGAGTAATTCGTTTTTCGTCGATTCTGAGAAAATACACTTTTTCAATTAATACACTATTGTATTAACAGTGCGATATCATTGAGGTACCAATGAATGTTTGACACAAATGAAATTGAATTGTGTACTTATATTATGCACCATTAGTTTCGAATATTGTGGTTACCTACCTTAATTGCTTCAGTGGCAACTGCGCAAGCCAGAGGGTTCCCGCCAAACGTGGAGCCGTGAGTTCCAGGTTTAATCACCTGTAATGTGGTTACAGTCACAAACATGTACAAATAAAAAATACAAACAAGTACAAATAGAACAGTTATATTATGTGTTGATAATTTCGCACACATACGTAATATTGCATCGATTTATTGCGGGAGTAATCCGTTAATTAACTTTCTGAGACATCTCAATGGCTTTCTTGAATAGCGACCTATCTCAAAAACATCGGGTATATGGGTATTTCCGACGTTTTTGAGATAGGTCGCTATTCAAGCTCTTGCTCAAAAATATACCATACGTGACACCATACCAATGTTGTTGTTTAATTATTCTAATCAAATAAAAAGCTTGGAACTAATTTGAATAAATTCACAATAAAATTTAGCATTTCTTGAATAAATTATTTTGTCCTGCATATTATTATTATATTATATCTGCAGGAAGAAATTTCTTATGGAAATAAGCAGTACCTTTTGTTTGTGTTTTCCTTTTATTTAATGTATTCTGTGCTTTTTCCTGTGCAATAAATATTCTTTTAAAAAAGGATCGACTTAGGAGTGGGTCACTTGTTCACTATTCTTGAAAAACATCGATCTGTATAATACAAATTTTATTTATAGTCTTACCGTTATTTACGTTTTGAAATTTTACGGTAGATTGATAAAGTTATGTTTTAAAAGTTATTTCATTTATATTCCTTTGTCAAAAACTTCGACCGCACTTATATTTCGGTCGCCAAGTAGTTATGTGCATTACTGCGTTCCAGTTTTAAGGGTATGGGTGAAACTGTAGGCACATGGGATTTCTTGACTTTATGTATCAAAATGACAGTGCAGTGGTAGTGCCCCTCAGATCTTTGCGATTTAAAGCTCTGAGGTAGTACTGTTATGGGTCACTTGATACCGTAAATAAATATTTGTACATCTACTTTCTCTCTCTCTCATTTCATATTTATGTAAACCTATAAACAAAAGAGACTCCTGATCGTAACCATCACAGGATCAACAAAATTTACGTGTACCAGTGCTCTATCGCGTCAAACCAATACACTGTAAAACTGTAATATCAAAAACAGCATTTTGAGAAAAAGCTGCAAAAAGGATTTTTCGGTTTTTAGTCATATTTGAGGTCAATGACATGAAAAGATATATTCAACTTTTTAAAAATACAGTAAAATACCAAGGCACTGTGAAATTCATAAAATAGACCATATTAGTAATTCACAGAAGACGCTCATTCATCCTTTCACAAAACCTACTTTGTATATTCATATTAAAAAAATCTATCCAGCCATTATAATTTTTTAGTTGCAAAGTAAGCTATATCTAGTAAAAAACGAATAATTTATGTTTTCCTTTAATAACATCGTAAAAAATCTTAGTGTAATGAAATTAGAAAACGAAAGTTACACAGTAAATGCGAAACATCTTACGTTCTATAGGTACCTACTTACGTTGGAGAATAAACGTATCGGAATTGTGTTATGAACCCTTCACTATTACCTAAGTAAATAAGTAAGAATAAAATACTTACATCCATAATTTCATGGTCAGCCAAAACAGCAGAAACTGGGATCACACCGCCGCCGAGAGCTTTGCCAAGAATCACTATATCTGGCCTTACTCCCTCGTGTTGGCAAGCTAGCATCTTGCCTGTGCGACCTATGGACGATGTGTGGTAACATGTCTCATTATTTTGGAAGTAAATCATTATGCACAAAGTGTCAGAATTGTTAAGTTAAAATTGTAACTTGATTTTTTTGTGATAAAGCTACTTCCTGATACATTGCAAATGTCTATATCTCGTTGTCTTATAATCAGATTACTATCGGTCTGTTTGTCAATTTGTATCTGTGTTAGGTATTAAAAAATCTCACCTAATCCAGTTTGCACTTCATCAGCAATGAACAATACATTGTATTTGGTGCAGAGTTCGCGCACTTTCTTCAGATATCCATTATTAGGGATGATAACACCAGCCTCGCCTTGGATTGGTTCTACCATGAACGCGGCTACCGTTGGGTCTTTTAGCTCATTCTGTTAAACAAATGAATGTGATAATGTGAGTACATATAGCTTCCTTTTTACTGTAAAATGTTTAATGTTTTTTAAAGCTTCAGTAGAAGGATCCAAATCTACTTTTAAAGTAATCCAAAATAGATTCAGCTACATAAAATTTATTTTTTATGTCATGCTCCAGGGTTAAATTGCCTACAGATAAATCGCAGATGACCTTTTTTTCAGATCTACATCGCTAAATATCATGAAAAATAGACTGGTTTGCATTAATATTAGATATAGCTGGTTGATGACTTTACCATCTCAGTCTGCGCTAATGAAAGGACCTGTGAAGAGCCCAACCGTTGGTTTGTTGAAAAAAACAAATAGACACGCGGTTTAGATCCCAAAACGTTTCTTTTAACAGCGAAAACCTAAGAATTCGATAGGTATAAAAATAGATACAAACTTCGAGAGCCTGAATGTTGTTAAATGGTACAAGCTTGAAACCAGGCATGTAAGGTCCATAATCTTCATAGCATGTTGGGTCTGACGACGACGAAACAGCTGCTAGTGTTCTTCCCCAGAAATTATTCTCCGCGAAGATTATCTGCAATAAAGCAATTATTATCACTTAGAATATCTTGACAATGTGTAATACAAATTGTTGTCTATTATTTGAGTACCTATAATTATTGAATAATATGTAAATTACCTTGGCCTGGTTCTTCGGGATCTTCTTAACGTAATATCCCCATTTGCGAGCGATTTTGATCGCGCTCTCTCCGCCCTCTACGCCGGTATTCATTGGCAACAGACAATCATATCCGAACAGCTCAGTCATGAACTTTTCGTATTTGCCCAATTGATCGTTGTAGAATGCTCTGAAATAAATGACAATCTATGTCAATTGTCACCAGGCATTAGTCTTTAATTTATTGTGGCTTTTCCATTATAAAATCGGGACATGCTTTTAAAACTGGTCCATGAATGACCGAGGTACTGTGTCGCTAATTGAAAGTTTACGGCAACGTGTGACAAGGCAATTGTTTTTAAAATAACGACAACAAATTTGAATATAGGTAATTTGGAAGGTAATTTAGAAAGCATTAGAGAATAGAAGAAAGAGTAGAAAAGCGAAAAATCTCACGAACAAAACATTATGATAGTAACTTAATATTTATGTTTCTGAATATGTGACGAACAAGCACATGTAGTTGAATTGGCTCGGTTTATCCAGGGTCATGATCCTTGATCTTGAATCGCAGATGGTGCAATTCAAACTGGCTAATATCATCCATCAATCATTGGGTGCTATTTATTTTTAACTCAGTAACATACACGTACAGGACGTTTAAATATATAATAATGTGAAATAATAGTAGGTAGTGTTAGGATATAATGTAGACAGCAAATGTAGGTGCGAAATCTCGTAAGGCAACACATAAAACACATACTCGTAATCCTATTTTTGTCTTCGCAGGGATAAAATTTAAATAATTAATCAAACACTGTCTAAATATAACTAAAAGTACCGGACTATAAAATAATCATAGTGATAAAGGACAAAAAACCAGAAATTAAAAATCGATGTAAAATCCGTAAGTAGTTATCATATGAAGTCGGAGTCGAAGATCTACATATATACATATAATGTAGATAGATGTTGGTCTAAATATGGGTAATGTAGTAATAACTCGAAAAAACAACGAAACAATTAGTTGCTTTTTCAAGTCTGATTTTATTTTTAATAATTTTCTTTTACATAGTTTATAGTTTTCTAAAATCAAATTTTTCATGGAACTCCCTTACTTGTGTCATAAATAAAGCAATGCGGGTAATTTGAGATTAACATCTCGCTATAAGAAACGAGACTTCAAAATTCTTGGTGTGTTTTCATTAATGAATGTTATTAATAATTCATTTGTTCATTGTTTCATGTGGATTGTCAAAGGTGTTTACATAAAATACAATAATAGTTTCCAATACATGAATCCTGTATTGATGTAGTACTTGTCCCTGATATTTTATAGTACCTTGATGATACAACTCTTTTTTTATACTTTTTTAACCTACCTAGAGACCAATGTGAGTGTATCTGCTTGTTGCTTGAGAGCGTTGATAATTCGTGGATGGCAGTGACCCTGGTTCACCGCGGAGTACGCGCTCAGAAAGTCGTAATATCTCTTGCCAGCAACATCCCATACGAATACGCCTGAAATTAAAAACCAATTTTGTTTAACACGCAAAAACTAACATTTTACAAGCAAAAGGACTCCAAACTCGTCTCGTCCGTGTACTTATATGGATTTTTTCTTTATATTGTTAAATATTAATAGCGAGATCTTATATTGTACTCGCACAAGTTTTAAAATTATTATTTTCAATTGTTTTTTTCTGCTTAAATCCATTACTAAATGGACGTAGTTAAGAAAAAAACGATCCAATGCATATCCAGTCTCTTTCGAGATATGGCAGTTTGAAGTTTAAAAATGTTATCGAGTTCTTAGGTTTTCGCGATTGTTACACATAGGAAATGAAACTATTTTTCCGGATTTAAATCCAAAAAAATGAATGACAGTCAACCGTTACCGTGGGATCTGTAAAGAGCCCGAAACGTGTCGGTTTGTTTCAAAAAACAATTATACGCGATTTAAATCCGGAAAAATAGTTTCATTTCCTATTTAAAAATGTTTCTCACAAGAGTGAGAAACAACAAAGACAAGAGTTTTATTTTCAAAACTTATAATGTCTTGTAACTCCAGAGAAATTTATTCATGTTTATATGTTGGATTTCTTTTGCTGATCTAAGAGGTTAGACTTTAGGAACCGTTTGGTACATATAACTCATTTTTTGATAATTTTTTGCATTGGTTCCTTGTTACTTAACTACGTCCAAATATAGGATATCTTTTACAGTTCAATGTGATTATCACCTAGACCGTGCAAGCACAAGTTTTCTCGTTCCAGTTGTAATCTTTAATTGTTTTGTTTTTCTGTTCTTACAACCCATTCAACACTTGTTTTTTTACCTCAATCTTAAATATGATATCCTGATTGTGACGTAGTAAACAATGTTTAATTTTATGCTCATGTTTTACAATTATAAGATTAAACTGTTGGATATAGTTTAAACGGTCTTTTGACGAGGTCAAAATTACCAAGAATATCTGGTGTATAATGTTTATATTGGACTAAGTGAAAGTCATGTAGGTTACATCAAAAGCGTAGTGGTTGGAGATCTGTAGTCTATACATATCAGTTGAATATAAATATTTATGTTGTGAAATGAAATTAATTGAAAGTATTTTATTTCAGATTGTAGGTATAGTTACATGTCCATATGGCGTTAGTAGGGACTTACGACTATGTTAGTAGAAAGCAAAGAGTTTATTTTCATGAACAAGGATGAACATCCGACGCTTAAGGATTGGGCTTTCCATCCTCTCTGCTACCACCTTAAGAAGACTGTTGGTGCTGCCTCTCACTCTTGCCAACAGGAATGCCACTGCTATGGAGCTTGATAACTAGGATGACAAAAATCCGTGCTAATGACGCCTTTAGGTCTTGCAGGTAGAGTCGATCTATGATGATTATGATGTTTGAATTAAATGTCGTATTTGTTAAATTTGTACAAAATGTATAATTACAAAGAGTAAAGCATAGAGTTTCTTGCTCATTCTTCTAAGGGGAATCCGCCTTATGAGCAGTAGAGTTTAATCAATCTAACGATTTGACATGTTATTTGCTTATATTATATATATAAGATAAGAATTAAAGATTATTTGAAACTCAAACGAGTTTGACGTTACAATTGCAATAGTTGTGCGTATAAACATCAGTACTCTTCATTCAATACAAGACGACTCTATAATTAGAATCATATGCAAACAATTCCATTAATTTACTTTATCTCATTGTAAACATTCGTTATCTGTTTTCATAAGTTCGTCTTGACAAAGTATAACAACTGCTTGTAACTAGCTACAGAGCACACTTTACAATGACATTAGGTTTGTTGATAAGTAGAAAATTAGGTACTTACTTATATTGTACCTACTGTTATTTATAACTAGGAATAATACCTCGTAGTCGTACGTCACAAGGGAGCAAACTAGTATATTTAGAGCGAGGCCTAACGACATATTTATTTGATGTCAACTGTTAATAATACTATAATATTATTTATAGACAACAGTTTCTTTCTATGAACTTTAGCTCAATCTTGTACAGAGACTAGAGAGATACCTACTTGTTAGTTGAATATATTAACGTAGTATACGTTCTAGGTTTACTAAATCATGTATACGTTAAAAGTGGAAGCGGGTTCTACTCCATTTGCCGTATACACTAATCAACAGTTTTGCAAAAGCAATAAATGTACACCTAAACATTTTTTTTAAAGGTGCTTCATTTACTGATCCATATGAAATACTCCTGGGTTTTTTAGGTTCGTTATTTGCAGAGATGGTTTTACTAAATTGAAGTTTAGTTGAAGGACGTAAGCTCCGCGTCTTTGGTGTGCAACATAACAGTGACTCTACCACATTTTTGTGCGCCAAGTATCTTTCCATAAACGAATTCTTGTACTATAATGTTACTATTTTCCGTTCACAACATTTTTCCTATCAATTTTTAGTTACTAAGGTACCCATCTTCTCATACGAAAATCGAAATGCAGCATTACAAGAATTTCTGAAAGACTGGAACAATAATAATAATTTTTTCAATAAAAAATCCTCAACAGTTCGTGGACATACATCTAATTGCGAAGTTTTATTGAAATCGGTTAACAGAAAGTGGATGAAGTCCAATAAACCGGATTCATCCCCTAATTTGCCACCCTTAGGGTGCGTTCCCACGGCCTGTGCTGTCAAACGCGCCGATTTATGCGGGTGAGCCCGCGAAACGGACGAGTCTGGACGGCCACGGACCGACGTGTGTGCTGGCGCGTACTCTCGCGTCGACCAGCGGCGGATCCAGACGAGCAGCCACGGGCAAGCATGGCCACGCTCGAACCGCCCTCTTCCCGCGACGCGATTGCGCGAAATCCCGTGGGAAGCCGCCGTAATAGGCGGAATATTTTCTTTAAGTTTTAATGGACCACTATTGTCACACGTCGGCCACATGTCGGAAAAATCGCATAACAAACACAAAAAAATACAGTCGAATGAAATTAAATCGATAAAAAATGGCGATAATTCTGCATGCGCAATTTTGATCGGTAATGACAAGTAGTAGCGTAGTTTATTATTGCAATGCTTTATATAAAAAAAGTATAAGCAAGCACATAAATGCGCACTTTTTTTTCACTCTATCATCGCACTTGATGGTGACGAAGAACGAGGTCGCCGATGAAGCTTGAAGTTCAGGAATAAATCTGCAGGCAGGGAATTTCACTCCATAGCCGTTCGCCATACAAAAATGGAAGCGTAGCGCTTCGTACGAATCTTTGGAATATCCACAACATAGTGATAGAACCGTCTGGTGCTTGTATTTATCACGGCCTAATTACATTACGACGTATGATCAAACCAGATTTGTCTACAGTTAGGCTTACCCTTTCCACGGCTCAGAGCTACAGGAAGTGGTTTGTAATTATGACACCCGTACTCGTCCTCCATGGCGAAGATCTTTTCACATGTTAGGTTTTCTCCCGCCATTTTGCTGCCAACAACAAATTCAATAATTATACCATTTTTATTAAAAAATAACAAACCAACTTCAAAAGTTTGTGGAATTACATTTATTTGCCAAGTTTTATTGAAAACAGTTCACGGAAATTGGTTGAAATCCAATAAACCTGATTTATCCCCTAATTTGCTACCTTTAGGGAGAAGTATTTTCTGCAAATTTAAACAGAATCATCAAAATGGGTTCACAAATGCCCGAGTAATCGTGTAATATACACACAAAAAAATACAATCTAATTGAGAACCTCCTCCTTGTTTCGAAATCGGATCAATTTCATCATCCACCTTTATTTTTCAAGTTCAAATTCAAATTCATTTATTCTCAGACCAATTAGTCCATATTTGTTAGTAACAATCTTATGAGCTAAGTTAGTAGAAACAAGGAGAACGGAACAATTACAACACATTAAATTAAGTTACATTATTACACCTTATTATTATAAAGACATTATTATATGTCCACGTATTATTATCTAATTATTAGGCATAAGCACAAAATCTCTACAATTTCAAGTAAAGTGAATTTGGCATCTGAGTTGTAAGTTTCGTATTTGTACATATGTACGATATCATTGGGAAGCTCATAGCAAAATTAAAGAAACCTTAGAGCATATAAAACAAAGCTAGTGAAAAGTATTATAACATTTAGAAAGCAGTCCGAGGAACAAATAAAAACATCGTACAGAAAATTTAAATAAGTAGTCATAAGTACGTAACTTCCATAAAAAGTGCCACAATATATACCTGGAATGGGCGTTACAAATCGTATATTGTTACTTTATCTACAATATTAGTCGATAGAGTTGTAAGAATTGGAGAGGTTGTCGGTTATATTTTTCTGTATCTAATGGAGCAATAAACGTTTTTGACGTAACTCCACTTGTGTGATTTTTCCATGAGGGATGGATTACGTTGAAGCAGTTATTCTTATAAATTACATTATGGCAACAAGGTTGGTACTAAAGATTCATAATTTTTGCTCTAGTTTGCCTTTGAGTGACTTCACCACGTGTTTTAAAATATTAACTATGAGAGTTGACAAATAGGCAGATATCCCTAATATACATACGTGCATGGCAAAGGCAATGTGTTCAGCCTGTTGAACAGTAGTTTGCAACTGTCATCAAACCACGCACCGAAAATCATTCGAATGCACTTCTTCTAGACTTTGAAAGCTCTTTCTAAGACTACTGAATTGATATTATTATTGTTGATATTACATAGCAGTAGAGCTCCTTGTGAAAGAGTGCGGGAAGTATTGCCACCTTACCTATTTCTGCTGCCAAGCAGTAATGTTAGCATTATATTATATTGCGTTCGGTTTTGAAGGGTGCTGGTGAAATAACAGGCACAAGGGACTTGTCAACTTATGTCTCAAGGTGACGGGCGCAGTGGCAGTCGGATCTTTGCAATTTAAAGTTCTGAGTGGCACTGCAACTGTTATGGACAGGCGTGTAGCTTACCATCAGGCGCACGACTCGTTCGTCCCGTCACTTGATATTATAAAAAAAAATATTAAATATCGTCACCTTACTTTCTCAAAGTCGCATCTTAAAGCACAAAGTTACTATAATGAAAAAATTGGATTGTATATAAAAATTTTGCAGGCTTATTTCACGTCACATTTCCTTCATATTCACACACTGACTTTTACCTATTCTTAAAGTAATGCATCCAAATTAAAACCCCTGATAAGAAATTAAAAATAAATATAAAGTTTTGCCATCTCCTGTATAATCACTTTTTATAAGATACGAGGCCGAGAAAGTAAAAGGCGACGATGCATGGATCCATAATAATTTGATTAAGTCAAAGAAATAGGGGCTCGCATTCTGCGCAAGCATTAACCCACTTGTAGCATATATACGAGTGATATTATATGCATACTTATCACGGTATCTACTAGATACACTTTGGAATATTTACGTCAAGACAACAACTCTACTAAATTGACCTGTAGGAGTATAGTTACTGTGATACGTCATGGAATCTTTATCAATCATCTTGTAATGAAAATTGTTACCAACCAATTGAATGATATGCCTACCTAGCTGAATAAGTAATGGTACCTACTGAGTAGCAAATTTTTGTTTGTCCACATTGACTTACAAATAAATGGACGACGGGTCTAATACAAAAACCACGAAAAAAATGTCCCAAGTCAACCTATTCGAAATTTAAATTGTAATGTCATCGCAGTATCGCGCTGTCAGTCGAACAAATGAAGACTAAAGCGGAGTTTGGCGCTCTGTATACGATTTTAGCGCCTTACAAGTGCGGACACTTTTTAGCGCGGACCCGACGTCCATATAATAAATTTGAAGGGTGCTGGTGAAATTACAGGCACACGGGACTTGTCAACTTATGTCTCAGGGTGACGGCAATTTAAAATTCTGAGTGGCACTGCAACTGTTATGGACAGGCAGGTGGACGACTTGTCCGTTCCGTTACTTCATATTATAAAAAAGAACTTAATTAATGGAAGTGAAAATACGAAGAAATTTACCCTTCAAAATTGTCGAACAAAACGTGGATTTTTAGATAATAATAATAATAACTGTCGCTGGTGCCATGGACATACATATAGACAACCACAATTTACACCCATACAAATCTGTTGCCTCTTTTAAATTAGCCTATAAGAAGTTTTTATTATCAACTCGATTATAATCTCACTACATAAGGCAGTCGTGCATTGCTTGCAAAGTTCTTAAAAAGTGATCAGAGCCAATTTGTACAATGTGTTAACACTAATCACCTCACTTACACTACATATACTCACCTCACTTACACTACGTATACTCACCTCACTTACACTACATTATAATCACATTTTTGGTATTTATTTCATTTTTATTATTATGTATCTATGTTAGGATTAGTTTATGGTTTTGTTTAATATTTTAAGTTTTGATTTATATTTGTAATTAAGTTTTATACCTAATCTTTATATTTCTTTTTTGTTTTATTTTATCTTACCGCCTGCTTGGACGAGGCGCCATCTTTCTTTTTGTCCATTTATGGTGCCACTGAAAACCAGCGTAATGAGGCGTTCTTCAACGTCTCACTACACAAAGCTGAGTGGTGACCGTTTTGGTAACATATAATATATGATTGTGTTTGTTTTGTATTGTTTATTGTAAAATGTTGCCAAATAAATTATTTTTCTTTCTTTCTTCTATTTCCCCGGCACGGGAATAGTACCCGAAACCTCTGCGTGGCAGTCCGGCATGGTAACCGTTCGGCCACGGAGGCAGTACTATAATAACATCATTCATCTTTATTGATCGATATTGTGTTTTAAATGTTTTGAAAAGCTACCAAAATATTGTTGATTATTACTTAATTAATGGAAGTGTATATACGAAGAATTTTAACCGGCAAAATTGTTGAATGCGATGCGGGTTTTTAGATGAATAAACATTGTATATTTAGAAGAATTGTAAAAAGACGAATCTCTTCTTACTTTCCTTCTCGACTATTTAACACTTCGTACTTGCTTTGTGTAAATCGTAAAATCATGTCGAATAAACGTCCATTCGGAGTTTGTATTATATCACTTTTATTAACTGTTACAAAATTACTTCAAAACTACATTTATCGGTGCTATACTAGCTCTAAAAGAGTAGCTCTAGAAGTTTTTGCTAGCAGAAGTTATTGTACAACTATTATTCGACTTTTCATTCGAATTGCTTATTTCTCATATAAAAACTGCTTAGAAACTGATAACAGTTGATTAAAAATCTATAAGGGCTGTTAAACCGCATGTAGTCATAAACACCCTTCAAAGCTAATAGAAACAAAACACGTTCTTCAAATTATAACACAATATGTATTTATGCCTACGTGATATGAAGTTTATGTGTCATGTGTAGGTATGAGGAAAGGAAAACCTACTTTGGTTTCCTTTGTTTTCCTTTATATTTTTCTTAATTTTACGTAGACAGCTCGATCGTTGGGGCCTTTGGGGCATAATAATATCTCAGACTGATTTGTCGATATCCAAAAGGATTCCACGTCACCCGACGCAATAGACATTTTCAGTTTCCGTATCTCGTATACATGTGAAACCATTAATCTTCACTTTACCGTAGCATGAGAACTTTCACTCACGTCTCATATAATATGTACGGAATATAACAACTATTAAAATATGTTCAAAGGGTTGTGTTATATGAATTTGTACTGTAATGCGTAATTGCTATATACCTATGCCTATAATATAATACCGTACCTACTTCATACAAATTTACAATTACAAAACAATATAAATTTCTGAATAATCGTAAGAATCGATGGTGTACGCAAACGTAAATAAATCATTACGCTATTAATGAGTCGGGTAACTTTTAATCGACAAAATAACGCTATATTTTCGGTGTGACATATTTATTTATGCATTATCTCTATAGTTTAAATTATTCTTGTTCCACGTTTATTTTATTTTATCCAACTATTTGGTTCCTTATACGACATCATAATTTTTATACCAGTAAAACCGATGGGAGACAGGCGCAATGATTTATATGTATATGTATGTATTTTTAAGCTGAAAAAATATGTACCCATAAGGCGTTGAGTAAACATAGAATTGTTCAAATATTTTTAAGGACCCTTACAAAACTTAACTTAGAAAAAGATGTTTTAAATTATAATATATTGTGATAAAAAACGTACACATATTTTTCCAAAATTATCCCGGTTTCCAAAATTGCAATACTATTTTTTTAAATTATTTTTTTAAATGCTCGGTAAAATAGACCAACAATCCGCTGTGTTTGGTGAACAAAGAGAAAAGTTAGGCATGGGAAATTAGCCAGCGCAAACTATGCGCGAAATATCTAAAAAAAAACATGTTATTACCGAAACCCGTCTCACAGAAGAATTGTGCCAAATATTTCTAAGACGTACACTGTCAATTATAAATAAAAAGACACTTACCCGTGTGTAAAATTAGATAAGTCTGTAATTAGA